CTTTCCAAATGTTACACCTGCATTTAGGGTGTGACTTGTTGCTTTTATTTTTGGGAACCACTTGCTGACTGTGCTATAACTGAAAGACGGCAACAGCATGGTCAGCTAGTTCTGGGAGGGTGTCTATAGATGTCCTCCCAGAACCCCACCCTTGGGGGTACACATTGGGCGTGCTCTGTGATGTTTGTGTCATTTGGACACATCTGATCACAGATCGTGATAAAGGGCCAACCAGAGCAGCCCTTTACCATGTGATCAGCTGTGTCAAATCACAGCTGATCACATCATAAACAGACTTGCAGGTTATTATGGCAGTCCATTCCTTACGTGCTGTCACAGCTTGAGGAAAGGAGAGCCGGTAACCAGCAATTCGGATAGGGAACATTTACACTTCTAATCAGGGCACTGATCGTGGCACTGATCGAGGGCAGCCCCATTAGTGCCTCCTGTTGGTGCAGTCTCATCAGTGGCACCTCATCAGTGCATATCGGTGAAGAAAAATTACTTTAAAACAAAAATGTGCTAAAAACGCATGCAACCAATGCACATTACCCAGCGCTTATGTAAGAATGGTGAATACACCTAAGCTTGAGAGCTAGCTACTTTGTTTAAAATCGTCATGAATACAACATTAATCACAGCAGCGCTCCACACTTTTAAAAGTTCAGTTTTCCACCAATTGGTGCTGAAAAGTGCAACAAATCCCAAACAGTGAAATGTTTTCCTCTGGGTGGATAGTTCACAGCTTCACTCCACCTTTTAATTGGAGTACATAAATCACCCTTTGTGCTCAGTGAACCACATCCCCTCGGTACAGCACTCACTGCAAGTAAATGCCTGTCATATTACTGATTAGGCAAATGGCACTTTTATTTGATCATTCATTTAGATGGATCCAAAATCTTCCTTTCCCACAGTGGTACTTTAAAACTCTAAAAGCTCAAGATAGGGGAACAAAGCAACACACATAGCGTAATCCCATTTAACAAATTTATTGCTTGTTCATTCCCATTAAAAACTCACAAACCTAAAAAGAATGATCGCTTATCATAATCCCAATTCATCAGACCTCCACCATCACAGTAATGCATGCGGTATCTCCCCACGCTGCTGATACACGGACTGAGGTTACCTCCTTCATGCCCCGTCCCTAATGTTTCATCCTTACAACTTCTTCTGAGGGAATGGCGAAACAGCATATCGTTCCTTTATAACTGACCTCCTTTGGTATTTAACACTTTATACTCCCTTGACCACCAATGTCCATTCTATTAACCACAGTGGAATCCAGACAGACATCTAGTGGTCACACATCATTTTACATCTAATTATATCCAACGTGATAAACAATTTCAACAGATCTCAGTTAGCAGATCTCCATAGAATAATTGTGCATCAAACCACCCTTTATCTCTCGGTCTGTCCATAATCAGTCTCTCCATCACAAACATTATTTAAAATTTGCATTTGGAAAAATGCATACTAACCTTCATACACATAACATTCAATGTCTATAGTTTGCGGATTACAAACCTTCAAAGAGATGAGAACCAGAAAAAACTTGCCTAAAAACATTTTCTATTTTTACCTACAGATCAAATATTATTTTTCCGCAAAAAATCCATTTACATTAGAGGGCCCTACATTTTTTTTTAAACCGTAACCTTTTCCGCCTCCTTCCTCCTCTACTGCTTTTGGACACTTTTTTTTTTTTTTGGGTGGGGGAGAGGGTACATAATTTTGACTGACACTTGCTGCCACTTCTGTCCGGATCACCTCAGCAGTCCAAGAAGGCTGTGGGACCATTTACAAAGGAAAGCCACAAGGTGTGGTAGCTGGATTCCTTAAGTACTCATGCTAGTGCTGGGGAACCAGAAGACCGACAAATAACTGTCCAGGGTGAGGACAGTGCTGAATACCTAGACAGGTAAGTATTTTGTAGCTGCTGCCAATTTTTCTTCTTCCTCTTCCTCTTCCCTCCTCCCTCTTCCTCTTCCCTCCTCCCTCTTCCTTCTTCCTCCTGTTTTTTTTATAATCCTGTAGATTCTGGTATTGCTCTCTGGTTCAGCCTCTTTGGGAAAAAGTAGTTTAAAATGGTTGTAAACTACAGACATTTAATTCTGAGCAAAGCATATTTCTATAGTGTTTACTTTCCTCTCTCTAAAGTACTAAATGTTATTTGTCTGCTGTCTAGTTTCTGTCATTAACATGAGCCATTGCTGACACATTTTCCTGACACCAAAAGGTAAAAAGGTGACAGGGGAGGGATCTCCAGAACACAGCCGTTGATTGACAGCCTCAGCACTGTTGCTGTGGGAAGGGGGAACATCCATTCCCTCCAATCAGCTCTCAGAGCTCATGAAACTGCAGCTCTCCACCCCCTGATTTGTGAGTCTGTGAAAAATCCCTTTCATCTGAGTTTTACAAGAATGTATAGTACAAATGGCTGCAAATAAACAGGTACAACTTTTGTAGGAGGATTTTTTTAATCTGTTCGTCACCTGAGGCCACTCACTTCACTGGGTATAGGTAAGGGTTTAAAACCACTTTAAGGTAATAAGTCAAATCCAGGGGGTCATGATCCCCATAGACCAGTGTTTCTCAATCTTTTTTCAGTCAAGGCACCCTTTAAAATTATGGACAGTCGTGAGGCACCCCGTTTTAAAATGTGAAAAACTATTCTAATAGTTTTATATAACACAGCAACATCCACACACATAGAACACCCAACATTAGAGGTGATTTATTCTTCCAAAGAAAATACATTTTCCACACTGGTACTGACAAGTATTTCAGTGTTTCTCATCTCCATCACTGAGCTAATGTGACCCCAGCACTGATGGAAAGGGGCAGGGGATGGTCAAACTAGGATGCTGTGCAGGCAGCTGACATCCTCCTTATCAACTGATGATGTAATTGGTTGTTAGGACGCTGGCGGCTAGAGGGTTGTAATGGTGTACAATGAAGACCGGTGGCTTTGTGTAACTAAAAGGCAGGCGTGTTCTACCCAATGGCTTGTATACAAGTTTTTATGAACTTTTTAGACATTTTGCCAAGGCACCCCTGATGAAACCTCAAGACACCCCAGGGTGCCTGGGCACCCTGGTTGAGAGAGGCTGCCATAGACACTGTACACTGTCTCCCTGGCCTGCCTTGCCTAGGCATTTCTAAATATTCATAAAGACAAACTACATATATTCTGACAGCAGTCAGATGACTTATTCTATTTCATTGGAAGACTGCAGTTGTCCCAACTCAGACACCTCTATTGGACACCATCCGTTGAAAATTAGGAGGATGGAATATCCAACTGCAAAAATATGAGATAGATGGGTAAACCAAAAGGTGATTAATCCTATATTTGAGAAAATATGACCAAACACCCCCTCTTGTTACATCTGACAATTTGTAGTGACTGTAGATTGACACAGTATACAGCCCGATGTGCTCAGAATTTTAAGAAATGATTTGTTCTCTTTGCTCTGTTTTATGTTTCTGTTTTTACCCTAGTTTAATAACGCTTTAAAATATTTTCCTCTTTCTACTCCTCTTTATAAACCACAGGTTTGCAGTTCAATGTCTGTAACATCTGTATTCCTACAAACGTGTTAAACCAGATCATTTGCTGTAAATGAACTAGATACTTTATGCTTTATGACACAGTACTTTTCTGGTAATGCATAGTTGCATACTGAAAACTGTAAATGCTATAAAAGAATGGTCCTTTCAACTGTGTGGATGCATTACAGATTGTATAACCTTGGCTAATGGTTTAATGTGTATGTACTCCTGTAACTTGTTAAAACCTGCAAACTTTAACCACTTACCCTCCTGAAGATTTACCCCCCTTCCTGACCAGGCCATTTTTTGCATTACAGCACTGCATTACTTTGACAATTGCGCAGCCATGCAACGCTGCACCCAAATGAAATTATGTCCATTTTCTCTCCCACTAATTGAGCTTTCTGTTGTTGGTATTTGATCACCTGTGTGGTTTTTTTTTTTCTCTCTATAAAAAAGCCACAATTTTTAGAACAAAAACAATATTTTGGTCTTTTTGCTATTAAACATGTCCAGTAAAAAAATTGAAATGCAAATTTCATCATAGATTTATGTCAAAATGTATTCTGCGACATGTCTTTGCTAAAAAAAAGAAAAATCCCAGTACTTGTAAATTAGTTGGTTTATGTGAAAGTTATAACTTTTACAAATGGCGGTATAGATACTGGGATTTGTTTTTTGTTTTTTTTTTTTCCCCTAATAGTAATGGCGGCGATCAGCGACTTTTAGCGGGACTACAGTGGACACTGAGGGGGGAAATGACTTGGTGTCACTGACATCCCTAGTGACACCAATACAGTGATCAGTGCTAAAAAAAAAAAAAGCACTGACACACTACTAATGGCACTGGGCAGGAAGGGGTTAATATGAGGGGCGATCAAAGGGTTAACTATGTATAGGGAGTGTTTTACTAGGGGGCAGGGGGTGTGTGCTTCACTGTAAGCACACTGCTCTGGATCCAGAGCAGTGTGCCCGAGCTGACTGAGGAAGACTGTTGGTAAGCAAAACAGTCTTCCTCCCCATCAGAGCTGCTCGGTAATTACCGGCCGGGACCTGGTGATTGCCAGCCGCGGCGCGAATGGTGGTGTGGGATGGGTTCGTGTGCACCCCCCCACCCGGAAATGCAAAATCACGTATATATACGTGATTTTGTGCACCCCTGCAACCCTGTAGCAGTATATCTGCTATAGGTCGGCAGGGAAGCAGTTAATAAAAATACAATTGCAAAAATAAATGGGGCCCAGTCCAAGACATAAAGGTGAAAGTTAAGGAAATGAGTATTTAATGAGAATAGCCTTTTACTAGTTCCCGTTGACATTCTACAAGTAACTCACTGAATGGTGATCTTTAAAAATCAAATCTAACATTACACTTGTGCGTTAAAGGATCAGTACCTGTTTTTCCTGCTGTCTACAGTCTGTACTTTGTTTTGTTTTCAGTGGATTGTATCCGGCTCCGAGGATAATTTGGTGTATATCTGGAACCTTCAGACCAAGGAAGTTGTGCAGAAACTACAGGGTCATACAGGTAGTAGGAGTTATTTGGGAAACCAAGATAAAGTATACATTTCACTTACCTGATATGTTATAATTTTCTTGACAAATTAGTTAATTTATCTTTAGTGGATAATGGTTGATAGTGTTTGTTCTAAGAAATTATTAGACTGCTGGGGAAAAATACTTTGTCAGTCTAGAAATTGGGGTTCTTATGCTTCCACTAGCAGTAAATATGTAGGCACAACTATTTCTATTTGTTTATGGAAGTTTATGAATCAAGTAACAAAAGTTGGCCCAGTAGTTAGCATGTTTGCCTTGCAATGTTGGGAGTCCTTTTGTGCAGCAAGGCGTAATATATCAGTGCTCTATAAATGTATATTATGTGAGTGCATGAATTTAAGCTGATTGTGTTTGGACTTTAAAATGTTATTGTGTTTATAAACTCTAACAATAAACTTCACTTATTTGTGCACTTTCGGTCTGTTAAATATATTGATTGTTTAGAGAAAAAAATCTGATCCTGCTAGAAATCTAGTGAGTTCTTAATTTGCTGGGCAGCCTGCCTACGCTGCACTGAAATTTCGGGCAGTGTTAACAGAGCTACTCTGTTCCTCTGAACTACAGATATGTTGGAATGTGATGTGATGGTGTTATGTAGTGCTAACATATTTCTTAGGTGACTGTGCTGCTCTTCCATAGAAACAGTACGGTGAGTAAGCGTGGTCACCCTAGGGCACGAAATGTTGTCAAAAGAAAAAAAATAACGTAGCTACCACATCTAATGACTATTAAGCTGGTCTATATTACATTTTTGTGCTTGAGTTTTCAGACATTGGTGCAGAGACTGATGTGAATTGTTTAGTGTTCTTTTTACAGTTTGAAGGATAAGTCAGCTATATAAACTACTAATAAATTCTGTCAGTGCTTTCCTTGAATTTGCACTTGCTCTCTAGAATATATTTTCATTCATAAATTTTCAATTTCATGCAAATATAAGTTTTTTTTTGTGGTTTCCTTTCTCATCTTCAGATGTCGTCATTTCAACAGCCTGTCACCCTACAGAAAACATCATTGCTTCGGCTGCACTAGAGAACGACAAGACCATCAAATTGTGGAAGAGCGATTGTTAAATCCCCTCATTAGACTTTATCCTCCAGAGGCCTCTACACCCCCTGGGACACAATCCTGTAAAGTGTGAATCGGGATTCTGAAACGTTTTGATTGTGAAATTTAGAACAAAGAAGGAATATCTTGCAGCCTCAAATGTATTATTTTCCAATCAGCGTTATACCTTGCCAGCAACATTTCATCCACCGTCTCCATGCCAACACACACCAAAGTTTGCTTGTTCTGTCCACTCTCAGCTTACATTCTTTTGGTCCAAAGATGTTGACAAGAAGCGCATAAGCTTACGAAATCAGGTTTTTTGCTCCTGTCCCTCACTTGGAATTTTTTTATTTTAAACAATTTGTCTCCCACTTTTGGGGAAGTAGCTTGATTATTTTTACTTATTACAGATTTCCAATAGTTGTCAGATCTCTAACCTGCACTTATTGGAGGATTGAATGCGCTCATAGATCCTTGTTATACAAGTTTTGTAAAAGAGGCTTTAACTCGTTTCCCTGTTCTCTTCTTTTCTAGTCAAATTCAGTTCAGCTGTTGTGACCAAATGAGGTTGCTGGTATCACAGTTGGGTTTTTCTTCTCACCAGACAAACCTGCGGTTCCTGTGGTTGTATAGTTAAGTGTTTTGTTCCTATGTGTTGTTACTACAGAGCCAATTTTGCAGTCTGAGTGGAGCAGTGTGCACAGACTGCACCACCAGACCCTTCAGCTGCCACCAGCTCTTGGCACTGGAGGGGGGAATCCCATCTCCTGTGTGTTGATTTTATTGCCCCTTCCTTGTTTTATTTTCATCCCTTTTTTTTTTTTTTTCCCCCCCCTCCTTGCCGGGTTATTTAAGGGTGGGAATGGAAGGGTGAAACATAACAGATCCCGTTGTAAAAAAAAAAAAAAAAAAAAAAAAATCATTGTATAAAGCAGCGCTGTTTTGTATTTTGGAAATTCATAGTATTGTATTGCTTATGGCATGAGTCTGTATTCGGATTTTTATTTTTTTTTTTATATATTTTTGTCAATTTTTTTTTTTCTTTTCTTTCTGACAACATACAGATCCATAAGCTGTAATAAAGAGGTGGGTTTTTACGTGACTTTTGTCTGTGTGAACATTTTTTCAGCATGCTCATAATGCCAACACTCCAAATTCAGTTATAGGCTAACAATTAAAATAATGAATAATAGCAATTAACTTCTCATGATCCCCTGTACTTCAAAATAGAGGCCGGAAGAGGGGGGGTTGGGGTCACTGGAAGCCAATAAATATGTTGTATAACAACGTCGGTATGTGTTTAAAACACTTAGGAGCTGGAAAAGGTGGCAAGTAGAGGAAGGATGTTGTCAGTGCTGTGATCATTTACAGCCCAATAAGTCGCCTTGGAAAAAGGGGAAGGTGATGATACAGAAAGCTCCAGGGTCTGAATAGTGGTCTCACCCTTTTTGTTATGCTGCAGAGTATATCAAAACACTGCCTGAAGAGAATTATGGCAGGTAATATAATTTACACATGTATTTTGATTGGCTGCATGGAAATCACTTTAAAGTGTAACTGTGGCCGAACCTATGGAGCTTTATAACAAGCCCTTATTGATCTCTGTATTTGAAGGCACTATGGAGTAATTCATCCTCAGTGTTCACACTCTGTACACAGAGTTCTTCACTCAGAAGCTTCCACTTATCTTACTCTAATCCTCCCAGTATGTGACCACCTAGCCTGTGACAGTACTCAGGTTTGGCTGTCAGTTGTTGGGCCCTGGCCCTTTAACATGATAGCTATTATACAATGGGTATTGCCGTATTTATTTCCACTTTGACTTTCAATTATTTTTAGCCTACTCCTATTAATCTGAAAAAAAATCAAAGTTTGTTCAAGAAACTGTGTGCGGGTTCCTCACAAAGTTATTTAGGTCTGAGACACTATCAACAATGCCCTGTGAATAGCCACTGTCAGATTTCAGAGCCTGCCTTTTGTACTATAGAGGTGCTGAGAGGAAGAGTTTCAGGAGGTGAAGTCTGTACAGGAATTACGTCTTGCAGGCAGCAAGGTATCATGGGATATTTAGTCCTATATAAATAAAAAATAAACCGCAGAGGAGAAGCTGCAAAACATGCAGAATGTTGTTGAAAATGGAAGTGTATATTGGATTGTCAATAATAGCTATTGTTTGCTTTGCTGTTTCACAGCTGTTCTAATAGGATAGCGTATGTAGTGACCATTGAACTCTTAGGGCCAGTGCATACCTGAATCTCACAAGAAAATTGTCCTCATTCCTGTGCAGTGCGATTCTCAGCCCATTCATTTGAAACTGCACTGAATTGCACCAAAAGTAGTGCATGCACTACTTTTCACAAATGGAGTGTACTGGATCACATGGTACTTGTGGTATCATGCAAACTGGTGTAGGCAAACCTGCATCAGATTGCACACCCAGTGATTTTTGAACATGGTGTAGGAAATGCAAATAGGTTCCATGCAATGCAATGGAAATGCAAAGTGGGTTTCGTGTACCAAATTCTGTTGTGATGGAGCCTTTAAGGGACAAATGCTGAGAACTCAACATCGATCTTAACAAGTTTTACTTGTCATGCATCATACAGTTGTGTTCAAAATAATAGCAGTGTGTTGAAAAAAAGTGAATAAAGCTCAAAATCCTTCTAATAGCTTTTATTTCCATACACACAAACGCATTGGGAACACTACACATTCTATTCCAAATCAAAACATGAAGAAAAATATCAAATTTGTGTTGTTCCTCTAAAAAAAAATTTAAGAAAAGTGAATATTAGACTGTTCAAAAAAATAGCAGTGTTTGTATTCTTCTTTACAAACTCAAACATTCACTATATAAACTGAAAAATGTTTGAAGATTTTGCTTTCCTTTGAATCACGTAATGAATATTTAGTTGTATAAGCACTGTTTCTGAGAACTGCTGTACATCGGTGTTGCATGGAGTCAACTTCTGGCACCTGTCAACAGGTATTCCAGCCCAGGATGATTGGACTACATTCCACAGTTCTTCTCTATTTCTAAGTTTTGCCTCAGAAACTGCATTTTTGATGTCACCCCACAAGTTTTCTATTGGATTAAGATCCGGGGATTGGGCTGGCCACTCCATAACGTCAATCTTGTTGGTCTGAAACCAAGATGTTGCACGTTTACTGGTGTGTTTAGGGTCATTGTCTTGTTGGAACACCCATTTCAAGGGCATTTCCTCTTCAGCATAAGGCAGCATGACCTCTTCAAGTATTCTGATATATTCAAACTGATCCATGATCCCTGGCATGCGATAAATAGGCCCAACACGGTAGTATGAGAAACATCCCCATATCATGATGCTTGCTCAACCATGCTTCACTGTCTTCACAGTTTACTGTGGCTTGAATTCAGTGTTTGGGGGCCAATAGATCCAAAAAAACAATCTTACTTTCATCAGTCCACAAAATGTTGCGCCATTTCTCTTTAGGCCAGTCAATGTGCTGTTTGGCAAATTGTAATCTCTTCAGCACGTCTTTTTTTCAACAGTGGGACTTTGCGGGGGCTTCTTGCAGATAGCTTGGCTTCACATAGGCGTCTTCTAATTGTAACAGTACTCACAGGTAACTTTAGACCTTCTTTGATCTTCCTGGAGCTGATTGTTGGCTGAGTCCTTGCCATTTTGGCTATTCTTCTATCCATTCGAATGATAGTTTTTCGCTTTCTTCCACGTCTTTCAGGTTTTGGTTGCCATTTTAAAGCGTTTGCGATCATTTTAGCTGAGCAGCCTATCATTTTCTGCACTTCTTTATATGTTTTCCCCTCTCCATTCAACTTTTTAATCAAGGTACACTGTTCTTCTGAACAATGTCTGGAACGACCCATTTTCCTCAGAATTTCAGAAAGAAATGCAATGTAACCAGCATGTACAACATTTGATGCCTTCCTTCCTTAAATAAGGGCAATACTTGCCACCTGTTTTTCAAAGAATGAATGACCTCACCAATAGAACTCCACACTGCTATTATTTTGAACATGCCCCTTTCAATTAGTGATTCAATTACACAGAATCAGCAGCATGCATGTCATGACTGTTGGGTCTGTTGGATTTCTATTACTCTACCACACCTTCTAGTAAATTATTTGCCATGTAGAAATATCATTTCTACCAAAAACAGTGATTGATCAGGTTAGTGATGTCTGACTGCTGTTATTTTTAACACAACTGTATATGCCTATGGAGACCATATATTAAGGTTGTGTGGACATTGGAGACCACTGGTATAGAGCATATTATATACCAAACTGTGGCCCGGGGCTGGATACGGCCCTTTGCTTGTTTTTATCTGGCCCTTGGGGCATTATTTCCCTTACTGTAAGCAGCAGTGGGGCATAGTTCCTGCCATTGACACTAGCAATGGGGCACTATTGTTCCCATTGACATCAACAATGGAGCACTATTCCTTCCACTGACACCAGTGATGGGGCAAAGTTTACTCCCACTGACACCAGGACATCTTGATTTCCTGCTGGCCTCAGTCTGGGTTCTCTAAAGTTTGGAGGACAGTACACGCGCCCTTCATTTAGGAAGTTTGGAGATCCCTGCTCTATACCCTAGTTTTAGTCATATCCAGCTTAACCAGTTTCCGCCTAGCCTATTGTATATGATCGCCAGGTGGGACTTTAGCTGTTCTGAGTGGATGTTTGTAAGAAAACCTCAGTACATGTTGGAAGGAGAAGGCTGGCACATGCTCATACTAATGTGCATGCTCATAATTGTGAGGAAAAGCTCCATACAAAACGGGCATTGTCATACTCGCGCAAATGTATTAGCATGTGCAGAAAAACTGGTGCCAAACGGCCTATTTAAGCTGCACTCTGACATGGAATTACTAAGTGGTCTTCAGCTAGTTCCTGTTTTTACCTGAGCCTGGACCTACTATACCTGCTTACCTGTGCATGACTCGGCTTGCCCCTGACATGTCCTTAGATTTCTGCCTGCTTACTGTGACCTCGACTTGTATTCTGACTCTGCTTCTG